TTTATAAGTTAGAACACAGAATATCAACAATGTATACTGTTAATAAATGGCTGTGGTATTAAAATGACAGCTAAAGAAAAAACTGAGGAAATTTTTTATAATATTTGTAAATTCTGACTCTCCCCTGGTCATGTTGATGATCCTTGATATATGCTCATGATCAGACTATACAAAATCAAAGGAAATTAATTTTTATAGGTACTCTGATTTCAGAAATATGCATATACTTAATAGTTTACAATGCACTTACACATAAATTATATGAATTGTTCCTAGATAAAACTGTTAGATATTCATAAGTTAGGTTTTATGAGTCCCATTTTGCAGATATACGAATTAAGATTCTGAGAAGTTAGCCCAAAACCAGTTTCAAATTCCAGATGTCAACTGATATATGCAATAAATTAGTATATGTTATTCTCTAAATTATTCTAGGACAATATTTTGTATTCACCAAACTGACTTTCTAAAATGCTTAGTCCAAATGTTTCCCAATCTAGTCTTTAAGAAATTTTCTATTTCAATTTTCATCAAAGTTTTTGGCTCTATTATCCTCCAAAGTCATATGCAAAGATGTTGCCACTGCCTGGGCCACCTGAATGAAAACCCATGTTGCTATTGTTTGGGGGCTAATTTTGCAAATCTTTTGATAACTTCTTGTTCAAAAAATACCTTTGGACAGGTGAAATGACTCATGCCTGTAATGTCTGGGAGGCTGAGGCAGAAGGATTGCTTGGAGCCAGGAGTTCAGAATGAACCTGGGCAACATAAAGACTCTTATCTCTACAAAAAAAATAATTTAAAAATCAGCTAGGTAGAGTGGTGTGCACCTGAAGTCTTAGCTACTTGGAAGGCTGAGGCAGAAGGATCACCTGAGCCCAGGAGGTCGAGGCTGTGGTGAGTCACTGCACTCTAGCCTGGGTGAAAGTGTGAGACATTGTATAAAAATGAACAAATAAACAACTTTAAAAATGCAACATACATAATGGTGCCTTAAGACTTAATATAAAGAGAATATTTTCCAAAATTAAATGATCTCATAAAAGTGGAAAAAAGTAAGAGCCAAAACCAGACAATCCAAATGTACTAAACTCTTTATCTTACTCCAAACATGACTCATGAAAACAGTGAATGGCTTCACCATTCCTACTGTGGTTTAATATCTTTAATGTCCCTCTTTATCACATGCCTTCACTTCTAATTCCTTCAAAAAATCCTATTGGTTTTATTTAAAGTATGTCCAGATTCTAACCAATTCTAACTACTTCCATGCTACTAGCCTCCTTACTAGTTCCCCCACTCCTATCCTTTTCATTTTAGCACCTATTCCCACAACAGCAGGAAGAATAATTGTCTCAGTCAGTTTGGGCTGCTATAACAAAAATACCATATACCGAGTGGTATAAGCAACAAGTATTTACTTCTCACAGTTCTAGAGACTGGAAATTCTAAAATAAAGGCACCAGAAGATCTGATGGACAGACAAAGCCTGATTTCTGACTGATAAATAGCTGCCTTCTCCTGTATCCTCACACAGCCTAGAGCAGAGAGGGAGAAGAATCGAGCTCTCTTATGTCACCTCTTATTCTTCTAATCCAATTAATCCTATCATGAGGTTTCTAACTGCATGATCTAATTACTGCACAAAGGTTCTATCTCCAAATGCCAGCACACTGAGTATTGGAATTTCAATATATGAACGGGGGGATGAAACATTCAATCCATAACAGTGATCCTGTTAATAGGCAACTTGATCATATCTTTACACAAAATCTTGAGTTTGCTCCTCTTTTTCTCCAGAATAAAGCAAATATTCTTAGAATGTTATCTAAAACCCTCCTTGATCTAATACCTATTATCTGTCTGACTTCATCTCCAATAACTCTATCACTTGCTCACTCCACTCTAGACCCATTGGCCTTCTTGCTGTTCATTAAACGTGATCTTCTTTTACCTTAGGGCCTTTGCATTGGCCACTACATATATATATATATATATATTCTAGAACAATAGTTTGTATTTTTCAACTAGTCTCATGGACAATCTTCCCACTTCAGGCAACTCCTTATCCTGAACCAGGTTAAACCTGGTTGTGATGTCAGTTTAAGGGCTAGCGTCAAGGTAGAGACCTCACTGAGTCCTGGAGGGCAACCCAATCCAAGAGTGGTTACCAATTATTATTATGAAAAAGATCAATGGTCCATATTAAGAGGAACTATCAATTATAAGATTCGATGACTCAGCATAGTCCAAACTACAAAGCAAGACAAGATTAGGAACCAAGACATATATATGAAAATTCACCACTAATAACCCAAGATGATTTGTCCCAGGAAAAGTAAAGTGAGAGAACTTCATATATATTCAAATCTAACAAGCTCATCTCTTTCAAGGGTTAGTGCAAGTCACCTTTTTAACATCCTTAACCATCCTAATTAAAATTGAAATCCACCTCACCCCTTGTGCTCCCACTCTTCCTCTACTTTTACTTTTCTTTCTTTATAGTAATACAACCTACTACTATGCTATTTATTTTTTTATTGTCTGTCTCATCCCTTTAATTCATAATCTTCACAGGAGCACAGACTTTTAATTTGCACACGAATGTATTCCAAGTGTCTGAAATAGTGTCTAGCAAATAATGAGTATTTACACTATATATTTTTTAAATAAATGAAATCTCTAAGGCTAACCACTGTTCAGAAATCAGTATATCTTCTTTCAGTTATGACTTTCTAAGTTTATATTTGGCAATTCAGTTTCATATTGAACTGCATTTTGGCATTATATACTGAGATTTGATTTATTTACTCAGTTTAAACAAAATATGTTTAGCTATTTGAAGAACTATAAGTGCAATAAAAAAGGCATCGGATACATGACACTATGTTTTATAATTGTATAAATCATTAAGGCCCTAGATTCATTGGGGAAATTTAACTTGTCAAGTAGTTTATGGTTTATTCTGTATGTGGTATTAAGTGCAAAAGATGTTGCTAGATACATGATGAAGCATAATTTTGCTTCTGTTAAAAGACAAACCAGAAATAATAGTTCACTGTAGTCAACAAGTAAAAGGAGGAAAAACCTTAAAAAGTATATCAGTAAATTACTAAAATCTTTTAAACATAATTGTTTTTCTTCCAAAAGACTACTCTGTTTTGAGTAATTTCTATAGCCTCAAGTATTCAGTGTGGCTTAGAATTACATTAATTTATTTTTAAATTTCTCAACAAGTCTCATGGATAATCTTCCCTCTCCCAGAAATTCCTTTTTCTGAACCAAATTAGACCTGTTTAGGAAGTCAGCTTAAGTGCTAGTGCCAAGGTAGAGGCCACAGGAGTCCTGGAGGGCGACTCAATCCAAAAGTGGCTACTGATTACTGTTATGAAAAAGATCAGTGGTCCACATTAAGAGGAGCTATCAATTATAAGATTCGATGAATCAGCGTAATCCAAACTATAAAGCAAGACAAGATCAGGAACCAAGATACCAAAAAAAAATGTATCTTTGGTACACAACAGAGAATGATATTCACTATAAATAACCCAAGATTATTTGTCCCAGGAAAAATAAAGTGAGAGAACTACATTCTCAGTGAGCTCTTCCATTCTTCTTTCAGTACAGTCAATACTCAGTATGAAACAACAGGCAATCCCAGCAAGTAAAATAAGGTTAATATTATTCAAATAGGTTTCATAGGCTTATTATGTGCAAAACACTCTTCTAAGTATTTTAATAGACATTAAGATTACTTAATACTCAAAACGTCTCAAAACATGATGTGTGTTTATATTATCACGCCCATTTTGCAGATGAGAAAACTGAGGCATAGAGAAATAGATAGGTAACCCACTTAAGGCTACATACCCAGTAAATTGTAGCCAGGATTTGAATCTTGGTGCTGAAATCTGTGCTCTTAATCACTAGATTAAACTGCCTCTCCTTAGTTTTTATACTTCTTTATGGGACTCAGGCTAAGGAAATTTGTACAATTGAGTTAGAGGAAGCAAGAATCTGTTGATTACATCTTCCCTGTCCCAATCCCTCAATCCATCTAATTTTGAATTGACTCATTTTTAAAATGAAGATGATGTTGTTGAACAAGATCATCTAGTGGACAGCAGTTTAAGCATAAGAGTGACTTGGTTCTGAAGTTCAGCTTTGCCATTTGCTTGCTATATGACCTTTAGCAAGTTACCTTTTCCAGTCTGTTTCCTTAACTTTAAAATGGAGCTTATAATGGGACATACATAATACTATTGTTTAAAGATAAAACAAGATAGCCCATTTAAAGCACTTAGAAAGTGCTCAATAAATATTATTAGTGTAACAAATAACAGCAGCATCAATAAGCTATGAACCAAATGATCTCTTGATTCTTATACTGGCACTAAAAAAAGGTTTATTTCTCTTCTAATTAAAAGAAAACTGCAGCAACCAAAACAAGAAGCCAAACCATAAGACATAAAACCAATTATAACTTCTGTGTGAAAACCAGAAATGCTATTGGACACATTAATTTCTATGTCGTTAGTTATCCCCTCTATTCCAAAATGTATGTGTTCTGCACCCTGAAACACCTTGCATAATGTAATCACTGTGACTCCAAGAGGTCAAATGGGAAAGCAGTTAATGCTTCTCTGTGAAAAGCTCAATAATTCATTTTATAAATTTCCATTCAAAGTCTATGCTGAGGTTAAGAAAAATTGACATGCAGTCTGTGAACTTAATGTCAAGCTCCAGAAAAACTCTGGACAGCACATGTTTAGCGATTAAGTGGATGCAGACAATAAAGACGTTGCCAAATTGTAAAACAAGACTTAGAAATCACAGAAAATGTTGCTGGTTATTGATTACGGTGACCATTCAGTTCCTATTGAGCCACCCAAAAGAATCATTCATTTTCCAGCAGAGAGCCTGCTCATTTGCAAGATAAAAGAGAGACATTTCTGCACATGCCCATAATGTTCTTCACCACTGGGGGCAGCTTTACATAAGACCGCATTCACTGAAACCAAAGCAACAGTCCGAGCAGCTTTCAGAATGACAGTCTGCAGAAGTGAGCTGAGCGTGTGCGCGGTACAGGGCTCTCCTGCCTTCTGAGCTCCAACGCAGCTCTGTGGCTGAACTGGGTGCTCACCACGGGAACTGCTGGGCTATGGAATACAGATGTGGCAGCTCAGGTAGACCCACATTGCCTGGAGGAATACATCTTGTTTTCCGATAAGAAGATATTGTAGAAGCCAGTTTTGTTTTTTTAACCCCCCCCCCAAAAAACTGTAAAGATGCAAAAACGTAATATCCATGAAGATCCTATTACCTAGGAAGATTTTGATGCTTTGCTGCGAATGCGGTGTTGGGATTTATTTGTTCTTGGAGTGTTCTGCGTGGCTGGCAAAGAATAATGTTCCAAAATCGGTCCATCTCCCAAGGGGTCCAATTTTTCTTCCTGGGTGTCAGCGAGCCCTGACTCACTACAGTGCAGCTGACAGGGGCTGTCATGCAAGTGGCCCCCTAAGCCAAAGCAAAAGACCTAAGGACGACCTTTGAACAATACAAAGGATGGGTATGTTTTGTCATTTTTCTTCTTTCCTTCTTAAAAACAAAACATAAAAAATCTTCTAGTCTGTGTAATAATTCTGCCTTAATTATTTTAGAGATTACCGTGTTCTGCTCTAAGACTATAAATTTAATTGCTTAGTAGACATGTTTCTTCGTTTAGCTATTTTTTAAAAAAAACCCTAAAGACAATTTTCTTTAATTACAAAGATGATATGTGATGTTAAATATTGTTGTCTAGATTTAAATATTTTAAAATGAAAATACATGGCTATTTTTGCTTAATTTAAAAAATGAATTCTTTTTTGGGGGGATAACTTTTCTAAGTTGTTTTTATTTCCAGGTTTCAATGTAATTAGGCTACTGAGCGGATCAGCTGTAGCACTGGTTATAGCCCCCACTGTCTTACTGACAATGCTTTCTTCTGCCGAACGAGGATGCCCTAAGGGCTGTAGGTGTGAAGGCAAAATGGTATATTGTGAATCTCAGAAATTACAGGAGATACCCTCAAGTATATCTGCCGGTTGCTTAGGTTTGTCCCTTCGCTATAACAGTCTTCAAAAACTTAAGTATAATCAATTTAAAGGGCTCAACCAGCTCACCTGGCTATACCTTGACCATAACCATATCAGCAATATTGATGAAAATGCTTTTAATGGAATACGCAGACTCAAAGAGTTGATTCTGAGTTCCAACAGAATCTCCTATTTTCTTAACAATACCTTCAGACCTGTGACAAATTTGCGGAACTTGGATCTGTCTTATAATCAGCTGCATTCCCTGGGATCTGAACAGTTTCGGGGCTTGCGGAAGCTGCTGAGTTTACATTTAAGGTCTAACTCCCTGAGAACCATTCCTGTGAGAATATTCCAAGACTGCCGCAACCTGGAACTTTTGGACCTGGGATATAACCGGATCCGAAGTTTAGCCAGGAATGTCTTTGCTGGCATGATCAGACTAAAAGAACTTCACCTGGAGCACAATCAATTTTCCAAGCTCAACCTGGCCCTTTTTCCAAGGTTGGTGAGCCTTCAGAACCTTTACTTGCAGTGGAATAAAATCAGTGTCATAGGACAGACAATGTCCTGGACCTGGAGCTCATTACAAAGGCTTGATTTATCAGGCAATGAAATCGAAGCTTTTAGTGGACCCAGTGTTTTCCAGTGTGTCCCGAATCTGCAGCGCCTCAACCTGGATTCCAACAAGCTCACATTTATTGGTCAAGAGATTTTGGATTCTTGGATATCCCTCAATGACATCAGTCTTGCCGGGAATATATGGGAATGCAGCAGAAATATCTGTTCCCTGGTAAACTGGCTAAAAAGTTTCAAAGGTCTGAGGGAGAATACAATCATCTGTGCCAGTCCCAAAGAGCTACAAGGAGTCAATGTGATCGACGCAGTGAAGAACTACAGCATCTGTGGCAAAAGTACCACAGAGAGGTTTGATCTGGCCAGGGCTCTCCCAAAGCCAACGTTTAAGCCCAAGCTCCCCAGGCCGAAGCATGAGAGCAAGCCCCCTTTACCCCCGACGGTGGGAGCCACAGAGCCCGGCCCCGAGACTGATGCGGACGCCGAGCACATTTCTTTTCATAAAATCATCGCGGGCAGCGTGGCCCTTTTCCTGTCGGTGCTCGTCATCCTGCTCGTTATCTACGTGTCATGGAAGCGGTACCCTGCCAGTATGAAGCAGCTGCAGCAGCGCTCCCTCATGCGCAGGCACAGGAAAAAGAAAAGACAGTCCCTAAAGCAAATGACTCCCAGCACCCAGGAATTTTATGTAGATTACAAACCCACCAACACGGAGACCAGCGAGATGCTGCTGAATGGGACGGGACCCTGCACCTTTAACAAATCAGGCTCCAGGGAGTGCGAGGTATGAACCCTTGTGATAAAAAAAGCGCTCTTAAAAGCTGGGAAATAAGTGGTGCTTTATTGAACTCTGGTGACTATAAAGGGAACACGATGCACCCCTCCCCTTCCCTCTCCCTCTCACTTCGCTGGCAAGGTCCTTCTCTGTCTGTTTTAGTGCATTCATAATACTGGTCATTTTCCTCTCATACATAATCAGCCCATTGAAATTTAAATACCACAATCAATGTGAAGCTTGAACTCCGATTTAATATAATGCCTATTGTACAAGACCCCTTATTGATTCCGTTAATGTCGCATTTGTTTTAAGATAGAACTTCTTTCATAAGTGATCCCTCACATCTGCTGTTATTCTCCTTCTGGTGGAACCAAATCTACTATTCTAGAACAGCGGTTCATTGGCAAGTCAAGGAAAGAGGTGAATGATCCCAGGTACTTGGGACTTGAACTGTTTCTAAGAGATGACATGGTTATGGAAACATTTAGAGACAGAGGAGTCTTTCAACCAATGCTCGACTTAAATTTAAAAATTGCAGGAAACTATCCAAAAAATGATGCTGGATTAAAGCAGCACCTTGAGCAGTTTCCAGAAGTGTCTGAATTTCAAAAAGTAAGCATAGGGAGAAAGTGTTGAAGGGTTAAAATACTGCAAATTGACAACTGCAAAATGTGAGGAGATGGTAAAAATTCACAGTTTTAAAGTTGAAGTCCAGTCTCTGAAACCCATCCCCCTAAAATCAGACTGGAGGCTTCACTGTCAAAGTCTTCTAGCCTGTACATTCCATGAATAAATAAATAAATAAACAAACAAACAAACAAATAAATAACATAGCCAAGAGGCAATTTTAAGGACGCAGATTTCTCCACTGATCCTTACATCAGGGAGTTTTCAGAGACAAGCTTTGTAAATGGGATGGAAACTTACTACATACATGTGGATGGGAGTTTACCTGAATTTCTCTTTCCAGCTTTTCACAAGCCCTCCCATGGTTAATGGAATCATTAGCTCTGTCCTGTTCTTCTGTGAGGATTTGTCAGGTTGTCCTGTTGTGTTCCATCCCATGCCCTGCACATACCAGTCCCCTAATGACTGACACGTAATTCAGATGTGTAAAGAGAACACATTCCAAGACATGTTTTCTACCCTCAGCCTCACTAAAGAGGACGACTTTGATAATACCTTAATAAATGTATAAAATAAATCTTAGAGGAAGAAAGGCCAATACTAGGACAGTTCTCTGTTGCTTTCCTATTGCTGACATTACAATGTCCCTGTGTTCATCTGTATTGTGAACTCATCCATCGGTACAATTCTGTACAGACCCTGTTGGCAATCTGCAAGCTGCATGCGTGTTTTTATGTGGTTGGTGAAAGTTTATTGACTGCAGCACGGATATCATAGTCTCTGTATTTAAGTAACTTGAACCACAGTCTATTAAGGTTTTAGAAAAATACCTTTTGTCTGTATCCTCTTTCATCCTCCAAAATGAACAGCTCTACTATAGGAGCAAAAATCAGAAATTGCAACATTGAGGCTGTTTCATTTACTGTGGCTTGTCAAGCCCTACATCTTTAACCATGTCCCTGTTCTTTCAAAACAGAATCACTGCAGCAAAAAAGAAAAAGTGAATGACTATTTTTACTAACATTTTTATATTGTTTGGAGGTTTTTCATATGCTGAGAGGAAAAATCTAGGCAAGTCATCAGGAAATATACTTGCAAGGAAGTAAGATTACTAAAATTATACTTTTATAAGCAATAATGAAAAAATATTTAAAGTAAATTAATCAGGTACTTTGATATTGATTTAATAATACAATAGATGCCAGTTCAGAAAAGCATCATAGTTACAATATGTTTACCCATGAATAACTGTTGGATATACATTTATCAATGTCAAATAGTCACATATTCCCAATTGGCTAATATGCAGATACTTCCTCACAGCTAACTGAATGACTGAGCTTATTGTGATGTTTTTCACTGAAGTTGTAATTTTACATTTTTCATAAAGTGTTAGTAAATACATATTTCATCTAAAAAATTTTCTTTGCCAGCCTCATTTGATCTGTACTCAAGATGATTGTATTAATTAAATGCAGTCTTAAAGTGAAAAAGCCCATTTCTATTCTTTGACTTGACCTTCTGCCTCATTTATGATGGATACCAAATACATTTAGTCAAAGCATACTTATATTTTTGAATTCTTATAAATTCTTGATGCTGTGGTGCTACCGGTATATAGAAAATATGCTTGGTACATTGAAAAATATTTCCAAAATTTAAAGCTACTTGGTATGTACAATCTAAGATTAAATGAATGACCAACATTTTGAAAGCTGGCCATTTTTTAATGCCTAACTTTACTCATAAACTTAATGATGGATAAGAACCAAATAAAATTCTTTAGGTGGTCAAATTCATTTTGACTTGGGATATGAAATTTCAAGAAAAGTTATATCCTCCCCCCTCACCCCACTTTGAGAATGAAGCTTCTCTAGTTCTCAGCATCTTCAGAGCGCAAATATGTAATTCTTGTAGGTTAAACAATAACTAATTTATCACTGTAAGTTTAACACAGCCAACTGGCAAATGTTTTCCTGATCAAAACTTGTTGCCCTTACTTCCACCTCATGGCACTTTCTAGACGACACACCATAAATCTATTTTCATAAGGATTTCAAACTAATTGCATCTTAGAGAAATGTGATTGATATTCATTCTTCTAATGCAAATATACATAAAATATCTGGCTTCCCTCAAAGATAACAACAGTTACATAAATAGCCTGACCTGTTGAACTATACAACAGAGATGCATGAATGCAGAACAGATTCAGTCAATACTTTGCTTTACCAAAAGCAAGATGAAATGGGGTTTAGTCTCTGAACTGCATGTGGTTTTCTTCCCTTTTTATGAACCCCGGTACATATATAGTGCTTCCACAGCATGAAGTTAATAGTCCCAGTGCTACAGTCTTCTAAGCAATACTTATGCAAGTTATATCCCGTTTAAATGAGTTTGTATTTTCCAAGGATGTTGACATTACATCTTTTCAAAGAATTTAAATCATATTTTACTTGATTTGGTGAATCAACTACCTAAGTAGGCGAGCAATAAACTGTATTTCTGTGGAACAGTAGTGACCTCCAGTGGCTGTTTGTACTAACTACAGCTATTCCTGCACATTTTAGCTTTTCATCCTGAATCCTTATGTAAACGTGGTTTATAACATTTTTTTTTTAATCAGTAGACCAGATTTGAATTTTATTATGTTCATTTCCCTGGGAAATATTATTATAATGTAATTTTGGGAAGTTATATTTTGCACACTGAGCTTTTTGGTAAAACCAGAACAGAAGCCACAGAACTGGTACTGAGGCCTAGAAATAAGCGTCCAAAAACGCAAATTGAATAATAAGGAAAAAATATCAGATAAGAAATATTTTTAAATGTTCATATTCATCAATTCTGACCAAACATTCTGATATTCTTATTAAATGGGTTAATATTTTTCATCGGCAGTATGCTGACATTCAGTGTAATTTGGGTGGGGAAAACAAATTTCAATATTAATATTGAAAGAGTCAGCAACAGTTATTTACTACTCAGTAGGTATATCAGAGGTATCGGGGAAGACGGTCTCTCCTTCTCTTCCGGCTTTAAGACTCTCCAGCTTGCTGATCGTGCCAGTGACCTGTGCTTTGCCCCAGTGCTTTCTCCCTCCCTCCCCCTTTTCAGCTAGCTGAACACTGGTTCTATTAGGCTCTCTGACAATGATGTTACAGTCTAAGAGGTGATGATTCATGGATAATGAAATTATGTTCTCCTTCTGGAGAAGGATAATGCAGAGTCAGATTCATGAATTTGGCAAGAGTTTTTAGGTGCATGAAATATCTTTTCTTCCTTTGATATTTACCAAGATGAAAACTCAAATAGTTTATTTAAAGTATGGATTAGACTAGCACGAGAAAGAAGCATCAGGTCATGAAGCCTAAGATAAAATGAATCCCAGACAGGACAAATGAGAAGAATTGAGCCATGAGAAATGAAAAATTCAGAAGCTGTGTGACTTCTTCTAATCCTTTTTTTCCTGAGTTCTCGTTAAAATCTAGATCCATAGCAAAACCACGGAGTTTTGCTATTCTTGTATTCTCTTATCTATATACATTAAAAAACAGAGGCAGTTGAGAGAAACCATGAGCACAAAAAATAATATTGGCAAATTTGAATGACCAATGTTGTAAGAGAAATAAGATGACTGGATCTTAAGACGCTTGTGTCAAGTGGCTCTTGGAAACCAACTGAAAATAATACACAGGTGAAAATCACTGTTTCCCTAATAATAACAGCCTATAGAATTGGACACAAATTTTGCTTAGCCTTTAAAATCATTGAAAATTTTGTATAGTTGGGTAGAATACTACAGAGATGATCTAAATAAAAATAGTTTTTAATTTTTTTATTTAAGGAAAATATCACAGCCTTGATTAGTAGAATACGGGACTTAGGTGTGAATTAAAGTTTTTTCTGACACTTACTGATCTAGTGATCTCAGACAAATTTCCTAGCTTTCTGGACGCGAAGTTCCACATGGATAAAATAGGTATGTTCAATTGACTGCTCATGGATACTGGGAGGACCGAATGTGAAAAGCACTTTGTAAAATTCTAAAATGGCAACTATCATTTTCAAAAAGCCCTTAGTAAGAGACTCAGCTGTGCTTGTTGACATTCTATTTGGCATGAGACATCAAGAAATCACTAATGTCTCTGTGACAGAAGCTCAAACCCATTTTATATCAATATGAGTCTAGAACTTAAGTTTTGTCTTTGACCTTTGATTTCCATATAAACACAGTTTCTTCTACCCCATGTTATTCAAATCTAAGGTTTTTTAAAATAATAATTATCATCATGTATAAGAAACATAAAAATGCCAACCAGAGAACACTGAAACAAAAACTGATCTTATTAAATCAAAATTCTAATTGTGTCCCAAATCAGGTCAGTATGGTGAGGGCTTTCAATCAATGTAGAGGTTTCCCTGTCTATTTCCTCCCCAATTTCACAGTGTTCAGTCCTCACTGACTTTATACTGAATAAATATAATGTTTATATGGCAAGATAATAACATTAATAAGCAAAAATTAATTGTTCATAACATGTTATTGTGGGATTAGCAGATCTTCTGGTATCAATCTCATGACACTTCCTCTGAGACATTTTCCCCCTTCCCACTAGCATGGTAGACTGTCCCACGGTCTCCTCCTAGTATAGGAATTAGCACTGATTTATCGATTATAATTTTTGAAAATCACTGGATAAAA